TATACTGCTATTTCTAGCTAACTTAACCACACATATTTCTATGCTATTCAATACATTACAAACATTTTACCATCTGCATTTCTAAATACCACATACATAGCTGATGTAATGTATCCTACACATATATACATCAAACACCACATACCTGTGTCGACTAATGCCAAATCATGCCAACACAAATACATTTTGCATTTGGATAAGAGCAGATTTTATGCACCCAAACCTCATTCTATTAACACTATCTGACAGCATAAAATTTGCTGTGTCGATTGTACGAAGGAAGACGAAATGCTCTTGTATCTTGGTGGGAGATTCAACATCCCTTGATTTAGTTTTGGAAATTTTGAGAGATTAACCAAAGCAGAACATAATAAATTAATTTTACAAAATGAAATTCTGGCCATGCTAAGAAATAAGTTCATGCATTCACAAGCGGTAATAAATCAAGGATAACTCAGTAACTTAAACAGAAGTAGTAAAAGGGCCACTGAAAAATGCATCTTTTTTTTCTAGCATCCACAGTGTTTGCTCTGTTTCTAGCACAAGCTGGACGAGGCAAAAAGTGTACGTTACAGGAGTACACAGGGTGCACGCGGGGACATCACTGTCAGCCACCCAAGGTGCAGTACTTACAGAAATGGCAGCAATGGTCTTCAGGATTTAGTTAGGAAGTTACAGTTGAGAAGTGAAGGTAATAAAAGCTACTTTATAGTTGTCTCAGTTTCTTACGAGGAGTTAAAGAAAACTGTCATATCAATGTATAGACAATAAGACCCTTTACTACACTCATCACATGAGAAAAGGATTAACTAGCATGGGGAGAGAGGTAGGTAAGTACACACACAGTCACAGAGATAAAAGAGATTTTTGAATGAACAGACCAAGTAACAGACAAAGATTGAATCACTGAAGGAAGGATAAAAAAAAGAATATCAGGTTTAACAATAAAAGAAAGGAGATTAGGAAAGACAGACAAAGGAAAATACAGATATAGCAAGGTCAAGTGTGAGAAAAAGTGCAACTGTGTTTCTAGACTATAAACAGACATGTATGTGTACACAAATGCCTCTACTTTAATCTTCTTCCTTAGACACATCAAAATAATATTACACATCTAGTGATATAACAGATTTTCTTCAACAATGCACAGACTAGCTATGTTTTAGAGGCAAAAGCTGTGAGGAACGAGGCTTACCTGAGGTATTCAGGCACACCCTTGTCCTGAACGGAGGACGTCGGAGCCTCAGGCGACGTCCGTACAGCTGTGGCTTCGCTCATCTTGTCATATCTGTTTAGTAAATGCAAGTGTACAAATGGCAACAAGAAGGAACAAGGCTGTTTTTCACTTTGCTTGTGTGCAATGATTGTATTTATTTAGCAACTGGCTATAGGCCTAGGGTTCACCACTGTATCAATGCTTATGCAGCAAACAATAATATCATTCTGCAGAGCTAAAGGAAACAATAATATATATAAGAAAAACAATAATAATGATAATAAAATCATAATAAAAAGGATGATTCATGTAATATCCTTCAAGTCCTGCATCTGAATCAACCTGCCTGTGCATGCAGTTAAAGGGGGAAAAAAAGAAAAGAAAAGAGAAAGACAAAGAAAAAAGGAATTCTAATGAATAAGCATGACCATTAGATATGTAACATAACAATTTTTAATAGAACATTCAACTCAAATTTCCCTTTTTCTAGTGCTCCTATCTTCACTTTCTGAAATATTCAACCTATCATAGTTGCTCCATATCAGTTTCTAAATCTTCGGCTAAAAATAACACATTTGACCTCAAAACATCTGAGAACATTTTCAAATTCAACTCCCAAATTTTTCACCTGTTTATAGATAAATGAACAATTATTTCCACTTGAACATTTGCCAAGCATTGACCAATTTCAACACACTGAGTTAAACATTCCCCCTAGAATAGGTTGAGTATTGATTAAATGTCAGTAACATACAATTCACTAACCAATGGAGGTATAAACTCATATACACAAAGCCATTCACTTTGGAGAAAAAAATAACAAAACCCTAACTTGCAAACAAACATTGAAAATAGCAGATTCTGCTTGTCAATGCCTTATCATTTGCACATTTTCTTGTTCTCTTGCTTGCAGTAGTTTATGACAATGTAGGACACAATTTCTATTTTCTTTCTAAACTGTTCTGTTTCAGATGCATTGTCTCTATATTTTTTCTTGTTCTACTAGTTCTTACATGTGAAAAGCAGAAAAGTAAAAGAAAGAGAAAAGAAAATAAGAGGGAAGAAATTCCTTAGCTATATTTCCAATTCTACTACTGGTAATCTGTCTATATTTAGCAAAGTAGTATATATCATACAATGACATTTATCTCTCTTATGAATGGGTTCATAATTTTCTTGGGCTCAAAAACCTTCTCAAATTCTTCTGTGAAGTATACACTATTAACCCAGTGCCGACGGGTAAAAATGTTTGGCAAGTGGACGTATGGACGGGATTGTTGGCGT